GGAGATAATTAAACAACTAGACAATTATCAAACTAGACAGTAAATTGCCCTTCCTTTTCTGTCCTTCATAATATATTTTTAAACCCCTCTATCCTTTAGAATTAGTCAGATGAATGCTATATAATCACAAATTGCAAATGCATCTGTTTTTATTCCTTACATGTTAACTTTGGAGAGAGGAGGGTGTATGCTCCTCTTCGCCTATTTTTAAAACTTTTTATTTTGAATAATTTCAAAATTATAGAACCTTCACCAAAATCCTTTTCCTGGATTCTCCAAATGTTATCATCTTATCACATTTATTTGTTCTGTCTTTCATTTTTCCTCCCTCCCTCACTTTCTCTACACACAGATTTTTTGGTGTTTTGTTTTTTGTTTTTGTTTTATTCTGAAACATTTAGGGCAAGTTGCAGACAATTTGCATTTAACCTCTAAATACTTTAGTGTATATTTCCTAAAACCAAAGTAAATCTCTTATGTAATCACAGTACGGTGACCAAGTCTAAAAATTAACATTGATAACAGCATCATTACCTAATCTAAAGGCCTTATTCAAATTCTATCAATTGTCCCATTTATGACCTTTACTACAAAAGAAAAAACAATTTTTTCTGGTCCAGGAACTAATCCAGGATGACACATTGCATTTAGTTGTCATGTGTCCTTAGTTTCCTTTGATCTAGATAAGTTGATCCACTTTTGTGTTCCTTGACCTTGACACTTTTGAAGAGTACAAGCCATTTATTTTGTACTCTGTCTTTCAATGTGGTTTGTCTGATGTTTTCTCCTGATTATACTCACGTTATACGTTTTTGAAAAGAATGTCACAGAAATGATGTGCTCTTTTCAGTGCATCGTATCAAGAGGCACATGATGTTGATCTGTCTCATCACCAATGATGTTAATTTTGATCTTCTAAGTTGCTAGGTGTTTTTCATTTTTAAATGTACTGTTTTCCTATTATACTTAACTAATTTTCACCCATTAACTTTAGATCCATCACTAATAATTTTTACCTAAACAATTTTGTGTTTGCCAAGTGGTTTTTTTCTACACTTACTAGTTAAAATTGTACTGTAAGGGAAGAACTGTGCCTTCTCCCTCAATTATCCTTCTCATCTATTTATATCTACCAGAACTCCTATATTCTTATTTTATTCCATGGATTTTAATAAATTGCTAGCATTATTTATCTTGCTGAAGTTTCCCAATTAGTCAGTGGGAGCCTCTTAAAGCTAATATCTTTGCCATGTCATTTTCGCACACTTAATTACTTTCTTATATAAGATATTTTAGGCTCATCTTATACTCTTCCTGAAATCAGCCATGTTATCAATGAGTACTGATTCCATTCATGGAAGAATCGTATTTAGAAAACAAGATCTAGAAGCCTTGTGTGCTCAATCAAGGGCAATTTGTCCCCCAAGGCATATATAGCAATGACTGGAAATGTCAGTTGTCATAACTGAGGAGATGCTACTGCCATTTAGGGAGTAGCAGCCAAGAATGTTGATAAATAACCACAGAATAGGCCCCCACAACAAAGAATTGTCTACCCCAGGATGTCCATAATGCTAACATGGAGAAACCCTGAGTTAGAGAATATATTTATATATGGGTATACACACATGCATGTTCACAAACATACACGTATACAATAACATATATTTATATACTTATCTTTCAATCTATGGCAAAAAACTAAGAATTCTATTTCATTTTAACACCATAAGGTTAATTCTACCCTTATCCATTTTCACATCTGTAACTCCTTTTTCTGACAGTGAGAAACCTGGCTCTTCTTATCCAATAAGTTTTTATTTCCTCAATCCCAGAATAGACATAAACTGGTTTTCAGAACTCTAACCTATGAACTAGGAAAAACAAACCTCCTAACTAGAATTTAATATTTACTTATACATATTTTATCTTTAGTTTATCAATCAAAATACTGTTAAAAGTTCTTTAGGTTAGCTGTTTTCTCTTTCCTTCAGCATGAGTATATATGATTCATAGACTCCTGTCCATTTGCTTCTCTTTGTATTCCACTTGAGTTTTTTTTCTTTAAAACATTAATGATTTTACTTATTTTGAATATTACTATAGATCTAAAAGTTAGAATTATACAAAAATGTATAATCAAGGAAGTCTCTCCCTTCATGCCATGTATTTTGTTTCACGCCTCCCAATCATTTCCAGCAGATCCATCCTCCATCTCCTATAGGTGCACCATCTTATTAGTTCTGGTCTTGTGTGTATGTGTTTCCACAAATGAGCAATGTATTTATTTCCCTAGTCCTCCGCCGATATCTATTCTCCCTTCCTTCCCCTAATAAAAGAAATGCTACTTTTTAGTTTAATATATGGCCATTTGATATCAACTACATTTCTCACCTTCTTAGCAGCTATGTATGACCTTATGATTCAGCACCAATAGAGGGGAGCCTTCCTATTAATTATGTTCTGAATTTAAAAAAAAAAAAGTGCACATAACTTCCATTGGCCTGCCACTTTCCTGCTGAGGCCTGATGGTGTGCACAAACACAGCCACTTTGGACCCCAAAATGAAAACCATTTGCTGTGAATATAAGAATCACCTTAACAGCCTCTGACAACATTCTTCCTACATTATTACATGGGAAATAAACTCTTTCTTAAGTCACTGTTTTTTATTCTCTTTGCTATAGTTGTTTTAGCAATAACTTAATTTTGAAGATCCTCAGGTGGAAAGAAAATAGCACATCATAGGAAATGAAAACAATAGTGAAGCAGGAAAAAGGAGAGCATGAGATTAAGTAATATAAATGAAATTGGCATCCATGCGAAAGGCAACAGGAAGACACTAAACGGGTTTTAATAGGGAAGTGATAATTGGGTTTACACTTTAAAAAGTTTATTCGGTCCATACTGAAGAATGGATTGGTGCAGGTAAAGAGCAGATATAGAGAACCCATTTAGGAAGCTATGCGCAGGCCATGATATAGATAGTGGTAGCATAGGACAGCAGGGCCAATGAAAAGAGAATTAGGAGTTCTTTTTGATCAAGTGTACATCCCCCTCAGAATACCTTCTTAGCCTAAGCACTCATCTTCTACACAGTGTTTCTGGCACACTGCATCCGGAAAACCTGTTTCCTCAAGGATTAGAAGAGGAAGTACTCTGATATGTATACAACCACATCTTTATGCTCATCCAAACACAACTAAACATATTTTAGGATGGGAAGATGGTTTAACTAGTAATATGAGATTACACTAACATTACTCTTCAAAAAGCAATTTTTTACTTTAGCAGCACATATGGACATGCCTTCAAGTCATAGTTACCTAGTATTTCACAGTGAAGGTGCACAGTAAGTTACTCAATCCTTCATCCATTTAGTCAACACTCTGGTGTTTCAGAATTTAGGCTACTACAAACAATGCTGTTGTAAATGTTCCTGAAAACATCATCACACAATTTAGTCTTTTAACTCTCTAGGAAAGATTCCCAAAAACTGAATGAGTAGGTCAAAGGGTATGTACTTTTATTTTAACATCTAACGCCAGGTTGGTTTTCCACAAGATAATAGCAAGTCACACTCCAAAGATGCCTGCATGTACCATCCTTTTATTTCACCTACAGAGTAAGTTACCAGTCTATTAAAAAATGCTACCACTCTAGGATGTTGTTTGAAGAAATCACATAGTGAGATCTTCTCCACAGTCACCTATGAGCCCTAATGCAGTACTCACGCTACTTTCAAAGGACCAAAAGGGGGTGGTGAGAAAAGATGCCCTCCTCACCTTTGAATTCCCACTCTACTTTCTCACTTCGCTATTAAGATAAGTACCAATTTATACTATATTCATCTTTCTGTATTTTTCAAAACAAGTTGATTAGAAATTCCTTGAAATAGTCATAGTTATCACTCAGCCTTTCATTAATTCATTAAACAAATATGAATTAATCAGCTATCATGTATCAGACACTGCTAAGCACTTGTACCGTGATATACAAGAAAACAAGATAAACACCATCGCTGCCCTCATGTACCTAATATTCTTATGGGATAACCCAACATTTAGCAATTAATTACACAATTGATTCTTCAATTAGTTATGATAAATGCTTTGGAGAAGCAATAGGACAAAGTGCAATGAAAGCTTATAATGTTACACACAGTACTGAGAAGGACCTAAAAGGGGCTTTCAATATTGTTTATATATGGTCTTTCCTACATGATTCAGTCATAATTCTAAGTAAACTTATATTTCACACTTTATATTTGATATTAAAGTCCATTATCCCGAAACTGATGATAATTTATGTTGAGATAAAGTAAATGATTTTTTGATTATGAATGGAAAGTTGGTAATAACATTTAAAATGCAATTTACTCCTTAAGGGGAATAAGTGTAACTCTATCTTAATTCTTTAAGTGTAATGGCTGGTCCTAATGCAGTTATCACTACATACCCTAAAGACTTATAGAATATCACTTTGTTAGATATTAAAATTATCCTCTGTACACATGAGGTAACAAAATTGTGTTTCCTAGAAAATAGTCTATAATTTGCTCTAGCTCATAGAAGCAAAGAGCTCTTCTTTCTACTCTCAAGTTAGTCAAATGTAGGCCACTATGTTTTCTATCTCCACACATTTTCAAGTTTCATATGTCAAAAAACCAAAGAAAATAATAATATAACAAATCTGCTGTCAAACTGCACCTACCAGAAGTCTTCAGTATAAAGAACCATTTTACATATTAAAAACTGTATGTTCATCTAGGAAAGATAATAAATTAAGCTATTAAATGAAACTTATGATCTAAGATATATATGTAAAGTATAGGAGTGCTAAAGAAAATGAAATACTTATTCTTAATTAGTATGTCAGTTTAATTCAAGCTTTTTTAAATTCCACTTAAACAAATATTGTATCAAATTCACTAATTATTAAATCTTCAAGCTATTTTCTAGAATTGCAGAGATAACAGGACCTAAAATGTTTGTTTTTACCTCGAATAACATAATTATCCAGTGCATCTTCCATTCTCTTCAGTGCTTCAGTTCTATCAGAACCATATGTGATTAGCTAAAAGCAAGCAACAAAAAGATTTATAATAGATATATAAACCAATCCATCAAACAACTCACTTCACATGATATCCCATATTATCTTTCAAAACTTCACAGTGGTTCAATTTATATTAAGTATATCAAGATTTTTCTAAATAAATAAATATTAGAATCAAGGTATAATATTTCAGACTTTTCTCCTACAGTTCACTATCACAGTAAAGAGTTATTTGAGATAAACAAAAATAAGCATAAACTTTTTTAAAGGAAAAAAAACACCTGGGATAGTGGAAGATTAGGAAAGAGGTTTTTGTGTTCCCCATTTTTCTGTGGGTTCCAAGTTTGAAACCTTGAATAGCTAATATTTACAAATATCATAATATAGAAGCAATGGGTTCTTATACTAAAAAACTTACTGTCCCATATGACTTTGTGCTTATTTACATGTATCTTATACAAATTAACAGTAAAAATGCACCTTAACTATTCATGAAAGAGTTTTTTGGTTATTACATTAGTCAATTTGTAGTTTGTATTTTAGTAAATTCAACACGTTTATAAAATACATTTAGTACATTTTAGTATTTTCAATAGCCAGTATGAAAATTCATTTGCAGGCTACTTTTCTGAACAGATATTCATTCATCCCAAAAGAAACTATATTCAATTAAATTGATGTATAATATTTTAATGTATTTTTTATTAAATAGCTTTTCTCTAACAAATAAAATACTCGAAGTTCATTTTATCAGTACAAGTGAAAAAAAAGGGGGAAAAAATGGTTTGTTTCCTGCAATTATATTAAAAGTCCCCCAAAATATGGAGAAAAAATCTTGAGAAAGAATATTTATAATAAAGAAGCCATTCTTCAATACAAGTCTAAAAGTTTAGAAAAAATAGAATTTCCTCAATAAAACCCACAATTTTAACAACTGCAGTCAAAATTTTACATTTTATAAGATCTTCAAATTCTGAAAATTTTTAAAAATTTAAAGATTTAAATGTAGAGCTAATTTATTTCAGAAAGTCAAATTTAAAAAAGACAGGTAGGCATAAAAGAAATCCTATACTCTTACATACAATTTAATTATGTGAAACCTACAAAATTTGTGATATATAAAATTTGGAAAGGTAAAAAGTGCTCTGACATACACAGCCTATCACCCAAACTCTTTGACATCACCTGCCATTCTTAGTTTTATTTCAGGCAATTTTCAGGAATGGCCAGAAAACACCTTAACTTCTTCTCACTGCAACTGGCTGAGTTGGTGTCACTGGTTAGATAAGTTTGTTATTGGCAGGTAGTAGTTTTATTTGAATTGATGGGGGAAGAAAGGGTGTTGGAAACCAACATGATACTGAATTTCTCTCTTCAAAGAAAATCTGTTCTGCTTTCACTTTTCCATCAGTACACAAGTCCTTGTTTAATTATAATACCTGATTCAGATAAAGAACCAATTTCAAACTTATTAATTAAATAGGTCTACTGCCCTTCAGAATAAAATTGAAAGAAGCCATAAAAAATAGAACTAACTTTGGAAATCATTGGATCATAGTAAATGCTAATATCACTTCCTGGTTGGATACCGCTGTCAACCCGGACCTGGAAGACAGAAAAAAATGAAAGTAACTTCATATTGTGCACATGTGTTTCCAACAACAAATTTAATTTCCAAGGAACAGATGGATAACTTCAATCTCGACATTTATCTTCTGGAAAATAGAACAACAATATAGAAATATATAGAGACCAAATTATCTTGGTCTGCCAACATTCAGTCATACATATTTTTGTTTTCCCACTAAATGAAGAAACTAAGAAAAGGGGGTTGGAGAGGGAAGCATTTCTACATCACTGTCCTGCTATGCGTTTGTAGCTATTTGACGGTGTCTCCAACTGAAGCATAGCATGAATGATGCTCCCCCTGCACCATCTGAGAGTTCCAGTGAAGACCTCACTCAAGCCATGCAACAGGACTTGGGGGCTCGGCTCATCAGCCCCACAGGAAAGCTGGTCCTGAGCCTTTCATGTCTGCAACACTTTCCTTTGTTGTCTCACCCTCTCAACTGTAAAACACTTTTTTTCTCTTACTGTTAGTCCCCTGAGACTTCATTGTTTACACAGCTTTTTTCATGGCGTGGCGTTGTAAGGACACAGCCCCAATTAGAGTTCTGATTTTGTGATTTTCATGGGAGGGGGTGTGGAACAGTACAAGTTCAAAAAATTCCTTTGAAGAGCCTGATTGCTGTTAACCAGCCAACAAGTTAGTACATCGCTGATTCTTGTTTTCATCTCCCAGTTTGATATCAGCAATAAGGCACAGAGGTTAGCCATGTAAAACTTTTTAAATGAGCAGCTGCTGAGGATGAAACAGTTATTAAATTATGGTGCCTAAGTTTAGGAATCTGAAGTATTTAAAAGCTAATCAAAATACTTAAGACTGTCAAGCGTGTCCTAGGGGTCTTGAGGATGGAAGAATTTAATCGAAGCCGCAAGAACAGCAGGACTTTGATGGCCAACACTGTAAAGGGGTGGGAAGAGAGAAGCAGAAGCTCCTCACCTGTGGGAAGAAGCATTCCTAATAAACAGCAGCTCATCTGTCTGCGGCACGGCAGAAAAAGGTCAACTCAGCGGCTGTTAGGCCTTTAATATTTTAATTTAGGCAATTATCAAGGGACCACATGTAGAACCTCTTGTCTAGGATACCCACACGAGGGTATGATGATGGCTTTATTATACGGTGACATCAAAAGATAAAGCATAGTTTCATCCCCTTAAAAAAGTCACACTGTCATTATTCTCTTTGTAAGGTTTTAGAAGACAACATTATAACTAACCCAGAGTACTTTTATCCCTGTATTTGTAAAACACAAAAAAACTTTCTTTGCATTCACATTCACATAGGAAAGCCTTAATGTTAAATGAAAATCAATCTGGGCACTTAAAAAAAGCAACACTTGGCTTTCTATTTTCTGAAAACATACTTCAGGACATAAACTGAAGTTCTATGAAATTCGCAAGCAGTGTTTATTAAAACTAGAAAAAAATTAACGGGGCACTGTGAAAGCAATAAAATTATAATCTACCTTCTCCCCACAATTAAATGGTCCCAAAATGGCAACTGGTAATCAAGTTACATATCAGAAGACATCTCTGAACTTGCAATTTTTTAATTTGACTGGCAAAAAGTTAAAGAGCTAATTTTACCACCATGCATTATTTAAAACCTTAGCACACTTGCTAAAGCTGTATTTAAAATTGAAACCTTTAGAACTTGATACAAGTTCTAAAACTTTTTATTTTAAACATATTCTATTATTTGCTACATAAAGTGCTATAAAGCCAGTGTGGAACTTTGATATTCAACCCACTGAAAATTAAAAGGCAATAAAGAATATTTATTATATTCTCCTATAGTTCATAACTTAAAAGTTTAGTTGCCTTGAATAACAGGATCCTAATAGACAGGTCACCTAAGGCTCCCAAATACAATTTTGTCTTCACTATTTATTAAAATTATAATTAGAGAAGGTTATGTCATTTTCCTTTAAAAATAAGTAGGGTAATATCAAAATGTATTATATATAATCAACATATCTTTGTATAAGCAAATCAACATTACCAACAAAGAAAACTCCCACTTATAATTTACTGCTTTTGCATATTTTTTCAAATAATAATCAGCTTTCTAAAATGCCTAACAATGAATTAAAAGTCAAATGAAGTCTCCTTTCCTCCAAGTGAAACAAAGGCTCTACAAAAGAACATATTTAGCTTTTACACTAAAAGCTTTAAGAACAAAGTCAGATAAAATTATTCACAAATTTCTGAGCAGAACAAAATTGCAGTCTGCAAATAACAAATTTACAAAATATGATGGCCAAAGATAAAAAACAAACAAAACTCTTCATATTTGCCATATAAATAAATTTTAGGCCTAAAGAAGCATGTGAAAAGTACAAACTGCACATTAACTCTGAAGTTTGTATTCTTATGACCAAAATGGTAAGAGACACAAAGGGTTTTCTATGTTAAAAATGACTGATCTACTTTAAGAAGGCAAGAAGGGAAACACCCAAGCACCAATATAGGAGAGCTGCAAACCACTGCTCAGAAACCTTTGGCATCATTTAAATGTCTCTCCTCTGTACCAACAGTGGCTCCGTACCAGCAGTGGCCACGTCTCCCACCCTTCACTCCCGATTCACCTCTCCCCCACAGCACAACTCCCAGCCCACCATGTCTACCTGACAAGTGACAGCCCAAGCTGATTAAATGCTTCCAAGGAAGGGAAATCGTGGGCCTCCATGACAGGCCAAAAGTGATCACCATGGAGATACATAATTACAGCTGTCAACGCATCTACTGTCCTGCTGACATCAATTTGATTGCTCCCAGCAATAATGATAGACAAAGCTTAGTGTGCACTCTCCTGCACCCAATCACTTTATCTATTCCTTGGTCCATTTAGCTGACATGCAACATTCACGCAAGCAAATAACAGCAGTAAGCAGAACATTTAAGGCATTTTAATTGTTTTTTTCTTTCTATGGATGGCTCACAACCACAAATGTTATTACATAAAACTCCTGCTGCAGCATTAATTGAAGAAAGATTTGGAGGGACAAAGACCGTAGGGGGTATAGTTTGTCCATTATCACTTATACTTTCAACAGGTCTCACGTTCGAAAATTGCAAATTGCAAAAACTTGCGAGGGCAAAATGTTTAACATCCTGCTAGCTATTACAACATGGTGAAAACTTCTAACAACTAGAGTTATCATTATGAATTCTTACTTAATACTTTTTGTTTGATTAAAAAATGTTTAGATATGTCCCCATAATACTTGTTTTCTCAACTGCTATTTAACATCACATAATGCCTGTTAAATCTTTACAATTTTTTTTCTGCCTTCAGGCTTTGAACACAGCATGGAGTCTTCGACCCTAGAAAAGGGTCAAGTCCCTTTAGAAAGCACATGGACAAAAACAATTTTAAAAGTGAAATAAATCATATATCCAATAACATCTTCAAATTTAGAATTCTTCCTGTAATCTTTCACCATCTTCATGCTAGTAATCAAACTGAATAATCATATTCACAGATGGTACAGCCTTGTCACACACCAGCTAACACCATGTCATATATATGTACACTTATTACCTTGATTAAAAGAAAGGGTATGTCCTTGTTCTTTTTATGCAATAAAAAATATTTAAAGAACTATTAAATGAAATAAAGTGGTCAGTGATTAATTTTCTTTAACTGGTGTAAATAATAGTATTTAAAGTCGGTGACATACCAAAATGAGGTAGCTTGTTTTCCTTAATCCATTTCAATTAACAAGCTGATTTGGAGCCTGAATTTCCTGACATCTGACTATATTAGGAAAGCCGGATTAGATTTATTGAAAAGGTTATATTGTAACAGAAAAGTCATTTCCCATTCTTAGGATTCCATGCTCTTATTAATTATAATTTTTGAAAGAATTAGGAACACTGTAAACTATGATTTATTTAGATTAGAATTCAGATGTTTCCAGACTTCCCCTGTCAAATGGATTCTGACTTCCTGCACATTATAAAGTACAAAATATATATTTTTAAAAACACACACAAAAAATTGTAATTCCCCATGAATTTCACTTGTCCTTCACTTTACACCCTTTGGTGTTGACATGCTTTAACATAAAAGTATGACATAAATCAAGATTTTTAAGCCCTCACTTGGTATTACAGTTTAATGACTTACACCAGGTAGATGTGCTGGTTCTTGGTACTGAGACAATCTCCCAATAGACGGTAAACCAAAAGACTTGTAGGGGTCCTGAAAGTTCAAAGGAAAGGAAACACAGTCTTTGAAATATAGATGAGCACAAGGTTAAAAATTTACACGTCTATTTTTCCATACACAGTACTTATCAAATCACAGATTTCAGAATATTACTATCTTATACTCACTCTAGACAACTTAAGAGTGTAAAAAATCAAAAAGAACTGTAAGCAGAATTTAGCCTAACCTTGATTATACATTATTAAAAATGATAACATTCCAACTTTTTATAAATCTTCTTAGAAGGCCTTGGGCAAAAATAAAATCACTTAGGTGTTACATCAAAACACACTCAAGTTCAGAACAACAAATGTAGTACACTAAAGATATTTGTTTTTCTCATTCTCAGCACAGCTCACATATGGCAAAATCTGATAATTTTGTTCTTTAAAGAAAGACCTGAAAAGAAGCTTTGTACATGGTAGTAGATATATGCTCAATTGTAAATACCTTAGATTATCAGGATAAAAATTATATAAATCCAGTGTCAACAAGAAGGAAGAATAACACTTAAAATATAATTAAAAAGCATGAACAATAACCAAGCCACAACGTATTTCTCAAGATCCTTAAACAACACTTCCAAACAACTTCTGTATTCTTAAACTCAGATACTGCTGATTTATTTTTTATTTCAACAGACAGGCTTCTCGTCTAAAAGTAAAAGACGGTAAGTTTTTTTACATTCCAGTTTTAATAATTTGAAAATATCATTTTCAGACATTGATTGCTTTATTATCTGACTTATAGTTATCTTGATAAAAATAAAGTACTGAACTGAGTGCTTATGAGTAAAATCCTTAATTATGAAGGAAAAGTTTGGTCAAAAGCTTTGCAATTTAAATTTCAATTGCTATTTTCATGTAATCATAAGGGATGAACTTTTTAGGGAAAAAAACTTGGAAAAACTTTAAGTAAATATTGAATTAACAACTAATGTGTGCTCAGGGTAGGCTCTTAAAAATATGGAATTAAGTGCTGCAGTTTATTTCAAATATGGTTTGAAACAAGCAAACAAACAAACCCAAGGTCCAAATGAAGCACAAGACTATTAAATGCTTTGTTGCCCCTTAAACTGGTTGGTTAGCTATTTTTCAATCCAGAAAAATACATGAAAATTAATTAAATTCAAGCCCTTTCAACTAATTTGAATTATGTCAAAATTATCTAACCTTATTTTCTGGTTCAATTGTGGATTACATAATCAAATATTTGACAAGGATTATAAATCTCTAACTATATTTGTTATTTAACTATACCTGGCGTCTCGTGACTCAGACACCACCACCCACCTTCACCCCAACATCATTCATTTACCTCGGCATACACCCGACATTCAACTGCCCAGCCGTTGATGGGAATATCAGCTTGTTTGTGCCTGAGAGGGTAACCCTTGGCAACACGGATCATTTCTTGGACTAAGTCCAGACCAGTTATGCATTCTGTGACAGGATGCTCAACCTGCAAGGCCAAGATATGCCAGTCAATAGGTGTAGTAAAAGGTAAATAAACAGAAATAAGCAAGAACAAGTCCAATAATTTCTGGGTAAAATAATGTTAATTACATTTAATCATGTTTGACTAAAAAACTGAGAGAATAAAATTAAAGAATAAACACAATAGCGTGCAAAGCATGATAAGAAACACTAACTACTAAAAAGTATTTGTAAACTATCTGTATCACTTTTCTCAGTTTTTACCTAGAAGTGGTCCAGCAATGTTTAACGCTTTAAATTTCGGTTAATTCATAACTGAAAATTACATATTTAACTGCAGTCCTCAATGTGGCTGATAATCAACCTATTCTGCTACACTTAGCATGGCATCTACTAGAGGCAGATTATGATTTTCCAAAGCACTAGTCTAGCCTAAGTCTCACCCACTTGCATGCTTTCACTAACCTGTCCTGACAGGCAACCCGATTAGCGTACTCTTACATCAATGCAGTGTAGCAGAAAGCAGCAGATGGATCCTGCAGGTTGTTTTCCCTCCAGACCTACACGGGGAGTGCTTAGCATGCACAATAGCAAAACTGAGCCAGTGAAATCACTCTGCTCTCTCAGCAAATTGCTGGTAACTACCTTGGATGATGCTGTCATGGGGATCCCTGGCCTTCCACACTAACACATGGGATACACATGTACAAAAACATGCACTGACAGAGAGGGATACTAACAGGGATACACATCACTGTAAATCTGATCGATAGCTTACAAGTTTCTAAACTGAACTGAGCTAAAATAAAGCCACTTATGACACCGTTAAAGAACAGATCATCTGTCGCTCACCTAAAGCCTTGAATAAGTTTGAAAACTTTAAATAGAACTTTGGCCACATCTGCTGCTTTGATATCAATTTATTTTCTCATAAAAATTAAGCATGTTCTAAACGCACTTCACAATAGTGTTATTGTTTTTTCATGATGCTGTATTTCTGACTTGGGAAAAGGTCAATGAACAAATGAATTGTCTTCCCATCTTCAACTACACTAACTGAAGGACAGGATTTAGTCATTATAATAATCCTGAAGCTTATCATAAGCAAACAATGCCATGGTCTTAAAAAAAAAAAAAAAGCTTGGTAAAAATAAACAGATGGCATCCATAATTAGCTCTGTGTGTGTTATGAGTTTGTTTACAGTTTCAACAACATTTTCAGACATTTTGACATAATTTTAACGACAAATCATCACTAAAATAAGCATCTAACCTTTGTAAAATAAATGCAGCATTAAATGAAGATCTTTTTAGATAGTACAAATATATATTTTTGAAAGCAAATTATGATTTTGTGAGAAATAAGATTCTATAGTATAAATAAGAAAAAATGTAAAGCCTCTCTATTATTGGTAGAAACAAATTTCTTGTGAGAAAGCATCATTCACTCTAAATATTCAAGAGGTGAACCTACTATGTGCCAAGGGCTTTATATCAATCCTACTGACACATCTCTGTTACGGGAGAAAATAATTTTTAAAGCTAAGTGAAGTACATTCTGTACACTACTCCAGTAGTCAGCAAACCAAGGCTCGTGAGCCACATGCGGCTCTTCGGCCCCTTGAGTGTGGCTCGGCATTAGAACCACTTCTTCAAAATAGGCTTGCCCAGTACGAAAACGACTTCTGCTTATGGGCCACGAAGTTTCAATCGCACTGTACGTGCATGCCTGCACGTGGTATTTTGTGGAAGAGCCACACTCAAAGGGCCAAAGAGCCGCATGTGGCTCGTGAGCCGTGGTTTGCCGACCACTGCACTAGGCAATTAAATATTAAATGAATGAGTGAATGAATGGACAGCAAATTGAGAGACACACCTATCACAAAGGATAAAGGTCGGGCTGGAATTTTTTTCCCTCCCAGCATGTTCTGACCTTCCTGATCTTCCTCATGGAAAAATGTATGTGAAAGCATGTAATAAATATAATCAGCTAGATAATTATGTGCTGTCATCCTTTATAAAACATATTACTATAAAAGTTTAAAGAACCAAATTAATTATGAGGCTCTGTTTTACCTTAGAAGGCCTCTTAATAACTGTGTAGGGGGGAAAAAAGTACATTGGACCCACAAATGGAATACAAAAATGGATCCACTTTAACTCAACAGTTACATAACAGAAACATAACAACATTTTACAATCTAAATTAGTGAGCTGCAAGTATTTCAAAATAAAATAATTAAGAAGATAACAAATAATGATTGGATGCTCAAAGCAAAATCATTAGCTACAAAATTTTTTTAAATATCCATTTAGGTTCAAGTATTGCTAAAGTCTACAAAACATTCTAACATGTCTAAATTTTTCAGGTAACAGAAACATATCTTTTTTAAAGTAAAACTTATAATTTAAACCTCTTCTAAAGAAAATTTTTTAAAATATATTTTAATACAATTCCAGTTATTAAGCAGGATATGTGAAATATTTTCTGTACACCCTGTATTATTATTTTCAGGAATCTTATAAGTGCAACATGGTTGAAAACTTAAAAATAGTTTCCCTCTGCAAGTTCAACTCAACACCTAGACATCAAAACAGAGCAATAGGAAGAAACAAAATGGCTCCCACGACAAAATACTCAGTAATCGTTTTTAAAATATCTTTCAAAAGGAAGGGAGGAAGAAGGGAAAATTAATAGAAAGTAAAAGTGGCTAATTGGAACAAAAGGTTACAAAAAGAAAACAGAGTAAAGATGGATGTCTAGTAAGCCAGCAAGTAACACCTTGCTCCACCTAGAAGGGGAAAAAAATCTAACTGTAAAAATATGATGCTAATAAATATTTATTCTGAGAGCTATTATGTGTGTGTGTTGGGGCTGGGTGGATTCCTGTGCCACTTCTGCCTAGGCAACACTGAGTTAACCTAAGTTAAACAGGCTTTCTTTTTAAGAAAGATTCCTCAAACTCAATCTGCCCTGGAACTCAACAAGAAAAAGACAATGTATAGTACTTATGTAACCACACACCTTCTTTTGCAGAGCATCTTTATGGGTTGAGAATTATATGGAACACACTTTCAGGGGGGAAAAAATGCCTTAAACATTCAAAATATAAAACCGAATTTCCTTATTGTGAACCTATCCTCACCAAACAGCAGTGGTTCTGACCCACAGGTTGAGAACCACTAGCAGGGTCACCTAAGACCATCAGAAAACACAGATATTTACATTATGATTCATTAACAGTAGCAAAATTACAGTTAAGAAGTTGCAACAAAAATAATTTTATGGTTGGGGGTCACCACGTCATGAGGAACTGTATGAAAGGGTCGTGGCATTAGAAAGGCTGAGAACCACTGCACTAGATAGTATGATTATACATCAAAGGTTAATATATTGATATTCTAGTATATAAATCTTGTGATTTAATCAGCAAAAGTAAGATGAGAGAGAAAAAAATCAATGTGAAAAAGAAAAAACAAAGGAGATGAGGGAGTATAAGGTATGGTAGAGAGGGAGGGGGGGAAGGGAGAGATAAAGGGAGGAAGAGGGGAAGGACACATGAGAAGAAAATACAAAGGAGTAAGCCTTACAAAATTAAAATTTCTGAATCCTCAAAGGAAGATTACTGATTGGGATATATTCATCAAGGTATGCCATCCTAATAAGTCAATTTGTACTGGCAATGCCCCATCTCACCATGGATTTTTTGTTCAAACAGGTACAAACAACTACAATCACCAAATGCCATATTATAGGACATAATCATACTAAAGGACTAGAATGAGTAAGTATTCTACATGCTTACATTAGATGGTCACAATCAGTTAGCTGTTTTTAGATTTGCTATTTTAATTTAATTTTATCTTTTTTGTCACCATCAAGTAGTCATTATTGTCAGTGTTTGTGTCTAGGCAGTTTGTCATTCCCTCTTACTAATCTGTTGCTTCAAATGTATTTCCAAAAAAATAAATAACTGAGCTTATCCAATGCAATGAGGTAAATTATTATAGGTTTTGCTTCACCTCTGAGTTTTTTAAAATCCACATCCAAGGATATGTTTATTGATTTGAGGGAGGAAAAAAGTCTATAGGAGAAAAACATTGCTCAGTTGCCTCCCAAACACATCCCAACCAGGGATCAAACCAGCTACATAGTTATGTGCCTTAACGGAATGGAACTCACGACCGTGCTGGCATATGGGATGATGCTCCAAATAACTGAGCTACCTGGCCAGGGCTCGCCTCTGAGTTCTTAATGTAGCAAATTTCAATAGTAATGAATAATCTCTCAGGCACTGTGTTGTCATTTATCTACCTCCATGATTAAATAAATATATTCATAAATTCTGCCACTGCTACTGTAAACTTTAGCTTTATTCCTCATTAAATAGAAACTAGGAAGTACATAAAATTAGTGAGTGAAAGTATATAATATTTCCAGAATTTCAAAGTAACTCCATATAAAATACGTTATTAACGACAAAGGGAAAAATAGTAACTGTAGTGGAGAAATGTGAGACACACCATCTTAACCAAGCCAATGTAATTTGGTTAGACATCACCTGTCTCCTATGTGATGCTCATAAGTAGACAATAACATTTCTGAGGTAGTCTTGCCAAAAATGCATAACCTGAATATAATGAGAAAACAAAATGAAGGATGTTCTGTAAAATAAATTGCCTGTGCTAATAAGAAGGGAGAAAAAAGTAAAGGTCATAGTTGACAAAAAAATTACTAAGAAATGTTCCAGATGAAGAGAAAGTAGATAGGAAAGGTAAATGAAATGCAGGAACCTAAACCAAAATTTTTTTCTTTTACCATAAAAAACTAATGAGATAATTGGTGAAATCTGAATATGATCCACAGATTAAATGACAGTAATATATCACTGTTAACGTATTAACTTTGGTAATGTAAAAAATTTTTTCTTGATTTTAGGAAATAAAGACATATTTAGGAGACAAGAGCTCCAGGCTTAAAATTTATTCCAAAATGCTTAGGTAAAGAAGACAGACGTAAATATA